AGCGGGAAGTCAATCCGCTGCTGGACATGTTATTGATCTGGTCATAACACAATTAACCCATGGTCACATTTGTAAACTCCAGGAGATTGTATTGCCTAATGATCAATTCCATACACTAGGCTACAAGCTACACTTTGGTGCATACAGATGTCAGCACCCGAGAAACAAGGGGGCTTGACAGACACAAATAGTTAAATTCAGCAAAAAATGCATTTCCTTTTTTTTTTTTTTTTTTTTTGGTGACATGTTAGTAGAGACACGGTTAGATTTACTTGTTAGAAGTGCCAAGGCAGGAACTGAGAAGTGGATAAACTTTATACTGTCCAAGAAGACTGTAAACATCCCCTGCCTCAACTACATTACAGCTGCAGCTGAGACCTTGAAAGACATAGATAATTCAGTAAGACAAGCATAACAAATATTCTCATATAATCATACAAACCACATCTGCTACTGTTTTGCTCTAAATAAAACCAGCAACAAACTACAACAAGGGAAAAAACATAATACATTCAGAGCAGAGTTTGTTTTTTTAAAGTAATTTCTGAAGTTGCCTCTAATGATATAAGAAGTTCTAAGAATGGAAAGAAGTTGCCAGCAGATCAGTGCTTTCTAAGAGCAGAGAATCCAGGATTTAAAATTTTGTACAGCACTGACATGTTTTATTACGCTTGACTGTTTTGTGTTCAGGTGAAGATGGGAGACTGGCATATGAACAGCTGGACAAATTCCCTCGAGAATTTGTTAAAGTTGGAAGTCGACGTGGAATGGAAGCTGCCACAGCTTTTTAGATGGAAGAGAACCTGCCTAAATTTAACAATCAGAAAAAAAAGACAGAGAGTAACTGAGTGTGAGAAGTAGAAGGAAGGCGTAGCAGAATTCTGTGAGAATGTCCTGAAATGTAGCAATTTAAAGAGCTTTTAAGGAAAAGTAAAATGTAAGATCCAGCTATGGAGTTCCTACTGGCTCCTCTATGCAGCTTATGACAGAACAGTTGGATGCTGAGGAACAATAGTTCCTTGATTGCTCTGTAATAAATAACGCATTTGCAGTTATTCAGCCTCAGCAAACTTCTGAGTTTTTAAAGCCCGGCTTCTTCATACATTTTCCAGAGTATAATATTTGCTTGTGAAAGCTTGCAGTATGTGATGCGGTATCTGAGACGGACACGTAGGAGGCCACGCGAGCAGAGCTACAAAGAAGCTTCTCTCCAGCGGTGAGCCAAGCGTCTGCTGCCTTGCAGTGTGCCCAGCAACACTCCAGCGGCGCACACCGCCATGGGCTCCCTCACTTTTGCCTCAGTGCTGAGGTATAGAACAAGTTTTGTCAAGTTTTGCCTCCAGAAACAGCACGATGCAAACCCTGGGAGGTGTCACTTCAGTGACTTATTCTGAACACCTCTGCTGGTCTTTTATTTCCTTCCTTTTGCCCTCCAACAATGAACCGTCATTAATTCTGGGGTTTGCCGGGGGATCGATCATGTACGTTCAGAAAAACTAAATGGAAAAGCGCTCTCCACCCCAGCTCCTTTCAGGGAGAAAAAAAGTGAGTACAACTTACTGCACAAGTCCCCAAGCCATTCCATTCTGTAGACTGCAAGCAGGATTAGGTTTCATACCCTCCAATTAGTGGCTAGTAGCTTCTTTAGAGTGATTTCAATACTAAGGACTAGAACAAACTAAAGAGGACCTTGGAGGCAGTAATAAACAGTGTGTGAAGTGAAGGACGTTTCTCCCCTCGCTGCAAAAATGGAAGACGGTGCCTCACGATGTTGATTGTGGGCCTTAAGCTCACAGAGACGAATAGAATTGAAGAGTGTTTCTGTACTGTGTTCATTATGCATGAAATGCTATTTAGATGTCAATTAAAGTATCCAGATTTGCATAATTATATAGAAAAGATTGCAAACAACTCACATCAAAAAGAAGCTCTATGCCCCAAACTCATTTGGCAGACAGGATTTTTGTTTCTTTTTTCTTTTTTTTTTTTTACTGTGAATGTTACAGTGTACATATCTGTATATTTATAAAAATATATTCTTCCTTTAATTAAAAAGTACATTTTGTACAGTTCAAAATGGTTACTTGTTTACTGAGGGGCATAGACTCTTTTTATAGAAGATGAAATAACCACGTGTTTTATGTGTTTTTATAACACATCTATCCCATGAGCTGAATTCTCCCAGGTGTTCTTTTGTACTGACTTTGCTTTTTTTTTTGCCCTTAGTTTTGTGGTATTTGTACTCACCATATTTCCTATCACATTTAAGTTATAATAAAGATTATTTTTAATTACTAAGTACATCAATCCATATGTACGGTCACTCATTACATCAGCGGCTTCCCCAAAGTGAGGCTCTTAAAACGTCCAACCACAGTGGAAATCAGCTCCCAGACAGCTCAGTTAGGGCTACCTACTTGTTACTGGATTTGGGGCAAACTGTTGTTTAAGCATTTTAAAGCAAAAAGTTTATGAGCAATAGTTGTCTTTTCAAGTCTGGTCATCAAGCCACCATTTTATCACAGTCTCAGAAAATTTACCTATGTTATCTTAAGTCACCTGCAAAGTGTCTTACAGAGTGGAAACCATAATTCCTGCTTTGTAGAAGGCCCACTCATGAAGATTTTGAAGTAGTCCTGTTCTAAACCTTACCAAAACATGGAGATTACAGCACATGAGCAGTACACATAGTAAAGAGCACTGTTTGAGGGCAGAGAGTGAACTCCAACTTCTTGTGTACTAGAAGAAATGGTGCAGTCTTAGCCTGTGTTTTAATAGGCACAACTTTGCATTTTCATAGGGGACTGGTTTGGCAATACCTACCTTTCCTCCCTGACAGCAGAAAGGTAACTATTTTAGTAACTAAAATAAAAATGAGAAACAGACAGGTAAGGAAAAATGGAGAAAACATGAAAACATACTGAAAATATTGTAATATGAAGTGAACCAAGACACATTTTACAAAGATGAGTTTTAAACTAAAATAATATTTTAGAAGGGAGGGATGGGGGGGGGTGCCACGTTTCAGTGCTCCTTCTCTGTTTGTTCCAGTGAGTGGCTATTGTTCCCATCCTAGAACCTCAGCAAGAAGTGTGTATTTTTAAGAAAAATCAGAATATTCTTATATTCCCCTAACTACTAAGAGTTCTTACTTAGGTAAGGCAGGAAATCCAAAACATACCTATCAGAAACTTGTTTGTATTTTGTGTATTACAGTGTAGAACATTACTTAGCAACTATGAAGTCACCGAATTCTACGCAATGCATGCGGAACTGCTGCTTAGTTACAAATTAGATGGTTGCTCTCAAGCAAGCACAAGGACCCTATATTCCCAGCTAAAACAACCTTCCATATCACTCAAGTCACTTTAAAAGCTCCACGAGGAGCACCAGGAAATATGCTGAAGAGGATGCAAAACTGTTACCAAACTTTTATTGAATATCTTTTCCCTTCTGCGAAGAAAGGGCCTGACGAGACAGATGACAGTTTTTTTCATCACAAAAAAATTCAGGATTATGGCGTAGACCTGAGGAACACAGAACTACCAATAGAGGAAAGAGCCAAAGCTGCACTGAGCATAGGACTGCTGGCATATACAGGTACCATGACAAGTGGGTTTGATGATAGACCCGATTTTTGTCTAATTTGTAGTTTGAATCCACCCTTTGCGAAGTGTATTAAAGGGAAGCCAGTCTATTACTTTGTTATAACTGTTAACAGCTGCTTATATAGCTCATACATGACAGGTAGGAGAAAATCCCGCTCTTAGTGAAGTCATTGAAAAAAATTCATAGACACGTCAGTTGGAACAGTTAGATCCACAGGTAAGTTCCTATTGTGGTGTCCAAGACTGACAAGCTCAAACATGGTATAGAGACTAAATTTCCAGTTCAAGCATTAGTATTGTTTAAAAATGGGTAAACAAAATTGAAAGTTATGTCCTGACATGATTCGTGACAATGTACGAAAAGCAAAAAAAAGCATAACAAAAACAAGAAAACACATGGTCTTAATTTAAGAACAAAACCAAACACAAGTCCCAGAAGTTTCTGCCTTTGGCGTTACAAGGAAAACTTTTGGAAAATGAACCCTAAAGCTTCTAAAAGCAGAAGGTAAATAAAAAGAAACAGACAATTATATTTGTATCCTAACTAACATGTTCCTATGCCTGCAGGGCTGGCAATGCTGCTTTTTCCTACTTTATTAATGCAAGAGCTCTTCTCTCGGGAGTGAAAACAAAAACCACCATGTAGAGACAAAGTCACCCAAACAGATACCAACTAGCATAGAAACACCCAGCAGGCACTCATCACAAACCCTCTTACTCACAGCCAGCCGAATCTTGCCCATTTAAAGATGAAGGCCATCCCAGGAACCCCAGTTTTCTAGCATGGTTTTCATACTGTTGTCATCTGTGCAGTTTCTCCCTAATGGATATAAGCCCAAATTGCCTCTGCACTACTCTAACTACAGCAGTAAGATAAATTGGCCTGCCCAGAGTTCAAATGCCTTGAGTGAGAGGCTTCCTCCACTCCATCTACTCCAAGGAAAACCATCTAATACTGCTTTAAAGCTGTCGTCTGGGTTACATATTCATTATTGCTAACTTTAACCACTCAAAATTAGTAATAAGACTGTTAGTATGTCTGACACATGGACCTCGCCTCCTTTAGGCTTGCCAAGAGGCTGTTGTCTGCCCTAAAGAAAAAGGTCTGCAGCTGCCTCTGCTTTCTCACTGCTACCCACATAACACATTTCAGTAATTCCAAGAAATCGTAAGAAAATGTTCAGGGGAAGGCAGCTGCCTATTTTCTATATTTTAGTCTCAAACCTTGTGTCTACAGTCTATGGAAATTAAAGGAAAAGTCAGTATCCCAAGATACTGCATGTGATGTATTTGATGTGCTAGAAATTGAGAAATCCCATAAATATAGGATGTTAGCCCTAAAACAAAGTTGCTCTTTATGGGTTTGTTTAGCTTAAAAACCATGAAGTTTACATTTTAGCCTTCCACCACAACCATTAATGAATTCGCTCTAAAAAAAAAATCCAGTAAGAAGATATTCCTGAATTCCAGAATTCGAACTTCAATAAGGTAATCAAATACTAAGATGCTTTGAGAAATGGCAAAGCAACAGTGTCCAGTGTACACACGTATACTCAGTATTACAGCTAATGCAATTTGAAAAAGCAAGTAAATAAGATTTTAAACACTAAATCACTTAGAAGCACAGATCCTAAAGCTTTGCTGAAAATCTCATCTTTGACACAGTTCCTCAAGTGTTTATCTTTTAAGGCTTTATTAGTTCTGTTTAAAACCATGGTCTTTATCTATACCTTTTTCACAGTTTCTAGGCATCAAAATAAAAACTCCAGCTTGTTATTACTAAGATTACAGTAAACTGCTGAGAGCACTATTAGATTCCAGAGCAAGATTCTTAATCTACCTTACTACTTTTCCAGCAAAACATATTAGTGCAGGATAAATCTTGCAGATATGCAGTGGGATTGTCTAATAAGATGCACTGCAGCCCTCTTTCAATGCCTTGGGTGCCAGCAGAGGGTACTACAGACATACCATTCCCAAGGGTTCGACCTTCAAAGTAGCTGATAACTTCTCCCTGCAGACAGGGCACCATAAAACAGCACCATTATCACTTGCAGAACCATTTTGTGTTATTAGATGAATGGAAAAGAAAAAAGGAAATTAACAATAAACAATAAATATTTTCCACATAATATCTGTTGCTGATAGCAGTGCAATTCAGTTTCAAGAACAACAGAGCACAAGTAGGTTTTCAACTTCTGCTCCAAACTCCCAATCCAATTCTTAAAAGAAAACAACCTCGGATGGCCCTCAAATAAAAGTAAATGAATATGCAATGCCCTTCCTTGCAGAAAGTACTGAGCAACTTAACTATCTGTGCAAAGCCTGCAAAACAAAGCTGTAACACACAAGGGTGCAGGCTCCCAGATAAGCAGTACAATGCCAAACACCAAGGGATTTCAGCTGCCCAGCCAAGTAGTTACCATAGGGTAACTCACACGCTCCACACATTGTCTTAAATAGAACGAGTATTTACACTAAAACTTTTTTTTTTTTTTTTGAAAACCTATTTTCCAATTATAAAGTTGTTCCTCACACAAAAGTTGGGTTTTGAAGTTTTGTTCCTTTTTGAAACATCTGGCACCTGAAAATGCTCTTTCTCCCAACAGAAGAAATACTATAGTTTGACTTACCTGAAAATCCCATCTTCAGTTAGGTTATGCACATTTTATGGGGGCAGTACTAGGACCTGGCCCTGGTAGGTGGATCCTACTTCTGGGGAGCCTCTGAATACTTCTGTGAATCAAGAAGTCATGGCTGTAACCTGTGCAAAGAAAAGGAGTCAGCCTGTTGGCCAAGTTGGAGCACAAAGAACACAACTCTTGACAAATCCCATTCTGTGGTTCATGTTCCTGAGCTGATAATCTGATCCCGCTAGCCAGAATGTTCTCTCTAATCTCGGTTTGAACCAAGTGTGTGCCCCAAGTCACACAGTTGTGTGTCAGTGGTGGATTAGTGCTTCCCTATATATTTAAACAGAAATAATGAAGAAGTACGTAAGAGTAACGTACTCATATATCATTACTATACATCTGCCAAGTCCTTCACACATACGTATTGCCGTATTTACTATATAGGCTAACCACACTGCATGTATTTAAAAAAAAAAAAAAAAAAGGATTTTTGAGCACACTAAGTCCTCAAGGTCTTCATCCTTCTAGAAGATTTCTATACAGTGATTAATACAATATCAGCTGTTTTCATATACTAATCTTTTTCTGACAATAACTGAGGCGCAGGGAGATTCCAATATTTGATCAAGATCCAAAACATATGTGAAAGTGCAATAGCATATATGGGTTCAAACCCCATACTATCATTCAGTCCTCATACCTAGTCTTATCCTGCACGTATTTTTTCAAGGGTTTATATAGCAGACTATTCTTTATGACAGAGGAATGAAGTGGTCCACAGCAGCCTTGGTTTAGAGATCTCCCGTGCAAGCTACTGTATTCCTAACCCCAGTTTTCTGTCCATAGCAGTAATGTTGTCTGTTACAGGTGGGACAAACGCTGCACTGTGTGCATCAGAATACATACAGGACTTGTATGATCTATTCTGCACACAATCAGTTTCAACAAAAGTAAGGATCCATGTACTCCAAGGACTGTCCTGTATCTGTTATACAAGTCCTGGCAACCAAAGAAAGGCAAAAGATTTACATCTAATAACCCGTCTTCTTGACCACCTGGATGAAGAGCAAGATTCAGCATCAGCAAATGAAGGCCTCACGGTCCAGTTCTGGATCTGCTACCTACTGACAGTTCTTTGTTGTAACAACATCCCCTGTATTATGGCAGTTCACAAAGTAGGAGGTGAAAAGCTAGAAAAGAAGCTGAAATTCCTGTCTCGTATGGATTGGTTTGGCTGGCCAGATAACTATGCAGCAGCACTTTTTTCCCTTCTAGGATTTCAGAGACTACAAAGTATTTCATATGTTTAAGAGAGCCACCTCAAAAGAATAGTTATGATCTGAATATTGTAAACTAGCACCCAGTTTCCTTCAAAAAAAAAAAAAAGTACTAGGGCAAAATAAAGGAAACATCTTTCCCCAGCCTTTCTGTATGTAGACTGAGGTGCAATTACTCAATTTTGTTTGCTACATCTGTGTGCTACTAGAATTTAACATGAAATGGAAGCCAGAGGGAATATCACTTCCCCTAACTGCTTTCAATGGGAATAATGCCAGAAGCATTAAAACATCCATTAAATTCCCAAAATGCACATAGGAAAAAAATCTAAAGGTGCTCAGAAACTAGGCATCACAGACCATAGCTTGCATGGAAATCTGTTAACTAAGAAAGCTGTCACTCACTCTCAACTTCTTATACACACTTCAGTAAAGTTCTGGGCAAAAGACCTGGGAAATGCACAGAGAAAATCTATTTTACACAAAATACACGGCATGTCTCTTAAGCTTAAGTGAAGATAATAAATAATTGTAGAAACAGAATATAGCTGCTTACAGGTGAACATAGGTAATAAATTTCAGAACTGCATTCCTCAAAATCCCTGACCAGTCTGGGTCCACAGTGCCTCAGACACCCATGGGGGCACTAAGTACCCATTTTGGCAAGACCACCTGCATCTAGCTCACAGAAACCCTGCTAATTTATAAATCGGAATATTTCCAGTTATCTCAGTCTCCTGGAAGTCAGCGGCCACCATCTGCTTTTAAAGCTGCCTCGGGAAGACTTACAGACTAACTGCCAAAAAATAACTTCAGGCCAAAACCTCTGTATTTACTCTTTCTACTACTTTAGGGCTTGCAAAATGAAGATTTTTTTGCCATACAAATACCAAATAAGGTTAAAATAACTAGATAAAGTTAAAAAATGCTTTGCATTCCTGTAAACACTTCTCAGAATCAGGGAAATAGTAATATTTTGGTAAGCATAAACTGCTTCACATCTTGGTAAATACCAACACTTCACTTCTAAAACAAACACCGAGTTACCTCTTAGGATAGCTCTCAAGCATATGGTATTTTATTCCCATCTAATTTTCAATGCAGCTGCTTTTAAGGGCAAAAATAACCACCCACCTTCCATGTAAGTTAAGAAAAAAAAAATCATCTCTCTAGAGAGGATGGTCTAGCATTTTTTGTTTAGGCAAGCTCCCCTTTAGATATATATCTTGGGGAGAAAAAAAAAAAAACCCTCCAAAAAGGGACAGAGGTAGTTATTTGAAAATACCAGAGAGCATAAACCTAAGTAAACCTCAGATCACCCTGAGTTTCATTAGCCATCCTGAAGTCTTCCTTAAGTCTCACCAACAGCACAAATTTGTGTCTCAAAAGCAGAAAGGACAATAGTCTTTTATGTTCCTAAGAGTTGGCTGTTTTCCAGACACTACCAGTCTCCTCTTGTTCTTTTCCCCCCATGCTGCTTTTATAATAAATACTGTACTTCACTGTAACCTTCCTTTCAAAACCCTTGAACATCAAGAGATTAGCTTATTGCTTGCCAAACACAGGAAAAAGGCTGAGCTGTTTTCATCACCACTTGCTCACTGCTTAACTTTGTTGTATTTGCAGTGCGATAACACTATTTTTCCCCTCCAAAGAAATACAGCAGTATTTTATTTCCCCTCACAAGTAAGGCTACTTTAGATAAAGCTCCCTCCCCTACTAAAAATCTTGTTGCACCAAGCTAAACATAAGGAGAAGGTCAAAGCAGCCTAATACTACACAGTCTCCCCAACACTTGATAAGACAGACTTTTTGATGCATTTAGTTTTCTAACCCATGCATCTCTTAAGTGACTATGCATACAGTAGATTCAATCAGTTTAGAAGCTCTATTTGTCTATCAGGGAATTCCTAAGGACTGAGATGTAGCCTATTAACTGCCACTAAAATTTAAGCACAACATTTTGTCAAGCTGGAGTCTTACATATGTACATGTTCAAAGTTCAGTATTTCAGTAAAACTGAAACCAAGTGAAGTCACTGTTGAACAGTGTAGAGTGGCACATTTGAAGTGCTCCTCTTAGAGAGAAAAAAGATCAGAACATGTCCCCAGCCAAGCTGAATACAGACAAGAGGAAGAAAACCTGATGTGCAGCCTTGGGTAGCAAAATAGTCTGCAACAATGCTGTTTCTACAGACATCTAGAAATCTTGGGAGGTCAAGAGCACCCAGGCACTCACCAGTTAGTTGATGACTTCAATATACAGTAGATAACTATTTTTACATTCCGAGTTGTTTCTCATTCAAATAAGAGGCTAAGTGTTTTGGTAAAGATTTATTTATCAGTTTTCACGTATCATGTCAGACCAACTGACAAGATACTATTTACAACAGTTTGAAATACACAGTATTTGCATTTATACAAGCAACTAAGTGCAGCCTGTAATGTTTTCTAGGCAGTATCCAGTTACCCCCACTGCTACATAATTCCAGTTAAAACAAACATCTGTAATCCTCCCACAAGAGTTTCTGTATCTGAAAAACTCTAGTAGACTCTTTCAAGGGAAGCCTGCAATTAAAAAAAAAAAAAGCCACATGCACAAACCCATTTACTTCAGATTTTGCTTTAAACGAAGTTAAACCTTCCTCAAATCACACTATACTTGTGATGGCCCTTCTTCAGGAGAGTCATCTACAACATCCCCAAAGTTAAGTTCTTCATTTTCTTGTTCAAAATCCTCTAGAGCCAGAGTTTTCAGTGCCTCAAGATTGTCAGGTGCTTGCCCAGTTAGCCTCTGGAAAAATACAGAAGATAATGTGTACTTAATATTCTTTGTAGTTATTAGCTTCGGGAATGAGGGGGGGGAGGGTACTGCATATTAGATTAAGCAAAGATTAAGTTAACTTCATTTGGAGATGGTCAACTTCAGGGGGCAGGTCTGGGGGGAAAAGACTTCAAAATGTGAGGACAGTAAGTCTTGAAGACACTTGTAATCTGCAAATTAGAGGTGGAAACCTGAGATGAGAAAGCAACTGGCTTGTTAACCAGTCTTCAAGTGTTAGGAAGTTGTTCAGCAAAGCAGATGTCTTAGACAACCTAAAATATGGAGAACTGTTCCACAAGCCAAATCTTGTGGTATTACTATATGCTACAGCACTAAATCCTTTCTAAAAAGAGGCCAGTTCACTATTATAGCCAGCAATAATGAAGCCAAGTCAAGAAGAAATGCTAAACCAGGATACTGACCTGGCAATTTCTAGCACTAGATGATCAAACTGAAGTGCTAGGGGAATAAAGACAGAACTGGAGGAGTCTGCAGCTTATCTCACTTTAAGAACCATCACCACTCACTTCTTGAGCTAAAGCCTCACAAATGAGCAGCTTATAACACTTATAAGTGAGCTTAACTGTCCTACCTGTAGCCCCTAAACAGTTTCCAGTTACACTGGCTCTTTAAGCCCATAAGTCATTTAATTTCTGCCTTGAAGTTTATTGCTAACTGAACTGACAATGCCCTCTAAACACTTAATGAAACTAAATCAAGTATAGTAAATGAGTGAAGTTTTTCAAGACTGAGCCAAACGATTCCATCAAACTAACTTGATCAAATTAGTTACTTAACCATGCTGCTTGTGGTAATACCCCCACTTTGACTCTAATTAGCCAGTGGAGCTGGAAACAAAATAACTACCCAGGAACCTAGCTTCATCCTGAGAGCTTAAAAGCAATTAATTTTTTATTTATTTATTTATTTTTTAAAAAAAAAGGCAAACATTTGCAGATTCCAGGGCTAACTACTCATTCATTACACCTTCAGTAGCTGCTGCAGACAACTTACTCCTGCTTTCACAGAAACAGGGAGAAGGCTACTTGTTCCCTACTGAGCAGCAGTGTAGTTACTTGCTATTTAGGAAGTTAAATTTTGAAGTTTGCAACTTAAAGTGCAAAATAAACAGGTATTACTTCCTAAAAGGGATCCCTAGTGGTATCAATCATAGCTTTTACCTAAGGAGACAGCATCTTTAATATCTTTGCTTAGGGTGTGCAAACATGCACCCTCCTGGACAGTATGAGGTAATTTGTGTTTACATACAACTATGTAAAGAACCCCTGTTTAAAGTAGGAATTCATCTACAACAACTGTTTGCCACATATGCTACACAAGAACTAGATGCTGCAAAATTAAAGCCTTCTGATTTTTCCAGTTACTAACTAGTCTTCTTTCTATATGTCTAAGAACACAGGAGTTAATAGTCTACCCCTAGAAATTGGGGTCTTTCCCATTAACCTTTGGCTCTAGACACTTTATCTGGAAGAAACTCATTCTCCTCTACAAGAGCCTGTAAGACTCTTCTTAGAGGAACCCCACAAGAAAACAGCACATCTGTAGGAACTTACTATAAAGAGTTGTGTCAGAACAAAACAGAAGCTTTGATTAAAAAGCTTCCTTCTCACTCACTCTACCATGTTAGTTTGAAATTCCTTCAAATACCTCAATCACGCTGGTCATGTAACGCACATGCTCAGCTAGTGACAGTAGTTCTTCATTTTCTTCTTTTAGAGAGGCAATTTCACCATCTTTCTTTTCAATTTCTTTGTGCAACTAAGGTCAAAAAACAAAAGGTTAAAAAAAATGCCAATAGAAATTTCTTTACTATTCACATCTTTCACTAGCTACCTTCTCATTTTCTTGAAGCACTTCATACAGAGCCTTCCTTCTTTGTTCAGCCACTTCTTTCCAGTACTGAGATGAAGGACTTTCTGAAGAGAGAAGCTACAGTGAGACTATGCTAAGACAAAATTCTAACAGATTCAAAATACTTTGCTTGGGTAAAAGTGTTCCATGCCCTGTGTGAATAAGCACTCAGTACAGTGTGAGTTTTCAGCTATCTCTGGGAAAGCACCTGGAGACATGAGTCTACAGGACACCTCACACAATCTCCAAAAAGTTGGATCAAGCTTGCCAGCATGCACTGCAAGGTCACATTTGCAAGAGTCAGACTTAGCATCTACTTTGCTGAGAACAAGTCTCATCATGAAGTCACTGTCACACTTACGGTAGCCAGTAGTTGAAAACTATTTCTAAATACTAGTTAACTTTTTATTATAGTAGAGTTGATTCTTGCTAGGCAAGACATAAAACACTAAACCTTTATTAAGCTGACAAAGCAAACATGCTTCAAGTTATCCTTCCAACAAAAATATAGCATTTAAAGTGTAAGAAAATACTTCAGAAACCACCACATACTTTTTGTCATGAGATCTGCTTGAATGACATCATCAGTATTTTCATTTTCTTGCTCATTGTCCATAGTAGCCTCAGTTTTGCACACCTTGGAAGTTAGCTTGCTATTCCAGAGTTTCCTTTTGATTGAAGACTTCTCCTGCATAAAATACAGGCATGTTAGACTTCAGAACAACACTTCAGATAGTTAAATGTGTATTGGGGAAATATACTGTGTCAATCTACAACTAAGTTAACCTGCATTAAGCCTCATTTCTTCACATTAGAAATGCTATTTCATGACAACCTCCTTGATACCCATCTATTTAATATCAGAAAGTTCTGAAATACTTCCCTGAATTATTCTGAAGCAACTGAAGTTAGCGTTGGTTAATATTAATCATATAAAAATGTAATATACTCAAGTTATGTCACAAGTCATAATATTTCAAACATGGCTTTCAGTGAAAAGTTCAAAAGCAGTTTGCTATGAGTAGAGATCATTATATATTTAGAGGTGATCTTCCATTTCATACCTCATTATGTCTGCCAACCAGGCAGCCCCCAGCTGAAGGCTGAATCATTTTGAGAGTCCGTCTTGGGGCAGTATTGCATATGGTATCTGAGAAGTACTTCTGAAAGGAAGAATATAGTATTAAACAGTTGCCCTTCTCTGCATAGACTGATACTTAGGGTGCTTGCCATGCTTTCATTATGTTAACATGTGGCTTGTCTTTAAGATGAAATGTCTATTTTAAGGCTTGACCAGACCACACAGAAAAAAGGAATGTGGTTATCTGTAGCACAGACCAATCTTATTCATATGAAGGCTCAATCCCTACCCATCTTAACCTTTAGCCTTCTTAAGGGAGCTTGAAGAGGTCTTACAGTAGAATTATTTCAAGGCCAGCTACAATGCAAGGACACACATAAACTTTAAGTCGTATTTGATAACGGCATTAGAGACAGAGGAAGCAACGTTAGCCTTTCAATTGTAATTAAACATGGTAAAGCCATGCAGATCACTTTAGGTAGTACCCAATTCTCATGAAATGCACACTACTTTTCAAGTTCTGATTATTAGTAATTAGATGTGTCGCTTTACTTCTCCATCAGAAGGGGTTTAAAGCTTCCGTGCTTGGATCCAGACCCACTATTGTTTTGTATAAACAGCATGTTTATCACTTTTCTTGTCATGCATAAATACTTATTTCCTGCATTAAAAGCTCTTTGATTGGACTAGTCATACTGCCACCATGGGATAGCAAACAGTGGCAGACAACCAAGCAAGAACTGCCAGAACACAATGCCACAGCAGCGTGAGAAAGTCACTGATTCACACCATACTCTGCAGGACAAAAGTTCACCTTTCCCACGGTAAAGTCTAAGTCTCTGCCACCAATTATCCTACTATTGAACTAAAGGACAAACACCAGTGACTGTGAGAACGAGAAAAAAAAAAAAAAAAAAGAAAAGAAAAGAAAAGTCAGACACTGCTTGCAGCTATTGAAGATCAGAGTTAAGTATATGCTGCCAAGAAATTATTGACCAATGCTCGAGTTAACCCCTTACACTTAAGCATTTTAATGTACAAAAAGCCTTTCTGAAAACTTTAAGAGATTACTGAATAGAGTTTAAAAAAAAAAAAACACACTACGTAGATAAGTGTGACTTACATATAATTTTTCATTAATACTAATGACTATGATAGATCCCATTTTTATCATTCATAGTGGAGATACTAGATATCAGCCTCTTTACATCCCCATTAGGGCCTGCATCAAAAGGCTATAAAAACATCTTCTAAGAAAGAACAAGTTATTTATACACTTTCATAGCTTCTAATCCAGACATCCCTTGAACTAAATTACCTTAAGCATTTCTACCAGTTTCAGTGCAACAGAGTTGCATGAGGGTAGCTTTAGAAAGCAAATTGCCTACATAAATACATCAGTTAAAGGATGCTCAGAGCAACAAAGACTGGCTAGTACCCACGCTGCAGGCCCTGAGCATCCAGGCAAGCCCAGTAACATCCAGGCATTCAGGCTTAGTCTAGTAACTAGGCTAAGGGAATGCCAGCACCCAAATCACACAGAAAGGCAGTAAACTACCCACGGCTCAAGCTGAAGGGAGAGGAAGGAAGGGGAGAGAAGGGGGGGGAAGGAGGGGACAGAAAAACACCCCACACAACACTTCTTGCCGGGCAATAGGAAAAGAATAGCTATAAGCTCATACACACTAAACGCCAGACACAGTGTTCCCAAGCCATACTGCATGCCGGAAGATTGCTCAAGCCAACAGCACATGGGCAGGTGGGAACACAGTACAACTGAGTGCTTTGTGTTGCCTTCAGGGGATATAAAGCAGCACATCCACTTCCCAAGGATTAGGGTGCACACTTCACAACAGAAAAGGCTATGTTCCAAGGACTTTTCATGTATTTCACCTATTTTATGAGCTTTAATCTATTCACCCTATTATAGCTGCAAGAGGTTAGAGTTTCTACCTGTAGAGATCCTGATGATTTTTCTGCGAGAAGTTTCTTTTTCATTTTGGAATTCATAGGATCACTGCAAGACAAAAAGCAAATGTTAGAAGACGTCAGTGGCTCCCTGCCCCCACCATGGCTCCACCGCACACCACCCAGCCCCGCCTGACATCCCAAGACACCAGGCCGCAAAG